TTTAATTACAGCGGCTCCCAAAATCTACTCTAATTAAAATACCCCCATTCCCCCACCACAACACACACACCTACTGTGTGTAAATGATTAACTGGTTGATAATATCCCAAAGCTGTTCACTGCCTATAGTGACACAAAGCCAACTAGGAAACACCAATAAAATATCTATCGTTTGGATATGTAATTGTAATAGGGGCATATTATTTCTGGGATCCACTGAGATTTTTTGTAAGAAACTGGGAGGAGGTTAATTATAAAACCCTAGTTCACATTTAGATAAGTGCAGGTAAGTTAGGGAGAGCTTTGCAGCACGAGAGGCCTTACTTACCATTTTTAACATTCAGACAACATTTTTCATCCTCAGTCTCCTTTAGAAACATGTCTAATGCATGCTCATAGTGCTCATGTAATGCACGTGAGAATTTCATTCACAGTTTAACGGGTTGGGAAACCAAAGTTTAAAAGTGAAGTGACTTTCTCAAGGTGCAGAGACAGTAATTATGGACCTGATCAAAATCCCATTAGGAGTCCTTCCAATAACTTCAGCAGGTTTTGGATCACGTCTGTGGGAAAGTGAGTTATCATTTAGGAATTCTTGACTGAGTCTTGTATCAGATGGTCTAATTATGCTCGTCTCTCTATAATACATGTGAAAGGACATCACAAAAATGTTGACCCAATGCATTTTTCAGAAAGCTTTCTTGTGTACTATTTATCTTGTTTTGACCAGAGCAGTTAGCCACATCTGTGTGTTACGGTTTGAGGGGAAAGAGAAATTGCTGACAGAGCCAAGTATTTCTTTGATGCAGTCCTGCTTTTTACAAAGAATGTGCAAAGTCTTATTTTCTGAACCCAGCAGAGGATAGTTTCTTTTCTCCTAGCTTCAGATCCTTGCAGCCAGCACTAAGTCTCAAAAAAGCTCTTGCTTTTAATGATTGTTTTTGTTATGTTTTTTCCTAAGGGCCACATCACCAGGTTTTCTGTACTGTGTCTTCTTGCATTCACTCTGTTTCTTGGGTCTTTCCAATTCTCTGTCACAGACATGCACATATTAATAAAGCCATAGCTAGTGAAACCCCTCTGCCTATTTTTGCCTTGTATGTTCCTTTGTTTTGGGTGGTGATGTGTGCCTGTGTTTTGAGAAGAGGTTGTTACTGTTTCAGCAGTCTGATTCCATAAACGAGGTTAACTCTTCCTTGCAACTACATTAAAGAAGACAGGAGTTACACACAAAATATACCAGTAATGGCAATATTTTCTTTGGGTTCCATATAGCCCTGAGGTATGACTAAGAGATGGGAAGAACTCTGTCTTATTCCCACTTTATTGTACATTTCTATCTGCCCCTCCCCTGTTTCAGAATGTGTTGAGTCTGCTGTGGACACTGTAGAATTACATGTCTGGGTATGATGTGATCTGACACATCACATTCAATACTGTGTGCCATTAATTTTTGTTTAAAATGGAACTATTCAAGCTGTTTGGCAGTGAGTTTTAATGATGGGCTTCCATCCACAGCAGGCTAGCTGTGGGAAATTATGGGCCTACTGTGACTGTCAGAAGAATGACTTCTAAAAATAAGAGTAAGCAAATTAGCATAACCTAAGGACATCTGTGCATCCTGCCCTTTCACCTCTGACTTTCTCTCTTAGCATTTACTAAACATGAATATTTAATACAGCAACTACCACATCTCATGAAGCAAATGACAGACTGAATTTCAAAGGATAATCTAAAAAGCAATGCACATACATCGGGAAAAAAAGGAAAATCCTTTCTTCATAAACCCACTTATTAAAAAAGTAATGTAGTATCATGAGTTTTCATTAATACTAGTCTTCAGTAAGCCTAGAGCGAATCTTTGATTGCCATGTGCTTGCTGTGATACAGAACTGCCTGGGAGCAATGAAACAACATAGTATAAGGAGAATGGAGAGCATGAGGCACTGCTAGAGAAAATGTCAGCTGGCATAGCAGTTCTCTGCCACAGCACATTTTCTTTATGTGATTTTTGTGGAAGAGAATTATTCATATTTCAGTGAATATTAATGCAGTGATAGTATTTACCACTAGCAATATGCCCTAGACCTTCAACACACCGAGTCATTATGTGCTTATATTGAAAGGTAAGTGTAATATCCTTCTTGTTTTACAAATGCAAATGCTGAGATGTAGAGAAGTCACTGCTGGTGTACAAGTACCATTCATATGCCAAGTCCACTTGGTGAAAATATGTGGAGGGAAGTCCTCCACAGTTGCTACTCCTCACTGGTACTCCTTTCTTCTTGAGGCTCACCAGACCCAAGCCTAGACATATTACAGAAGTGCTGCAGACCTTCCTATTTGTGCAGTCATTTACCCAACAAAACTAGGATGAGGTGTTGTTTGGGAGAGTCTCTGTTTCATCTTGCTATTCTAGTTCCCTTTTAAGTTTGTTTTGGTCCTCTTGTCATTCTCCTGTTTTTAAGTTATTCTATTTTCTTATTGTAATCTGCCCTGAGCCTTTGTTGGGAAGGGCTGCATATTAATCAAATAAATAAATAAATTTGAGAAGCATCTATGGATGCTAGCCAGTGTTTTGGTCGCTTTACTAGCATGCTTCAGGGGAGGGAAGAGGGTGCTTTAATTACAGCAACTCTCAGGACCTATTCTTATTAAAGTGCCTGCAGTGTCTCATGTATTCAGCATCCTGTGCTTCAAAATGGCAGTGGAGGTGCTTTAATTAAAGGTATTTCAATGAGCTTTAGTTAAAATGGCTCCACCTCCATTTTGAAGCACAGGGATGCTGAATACATGAGACCCAGAGGATGCTGGAACTAATTAGCATGCTTCAGTAGACTCAATTAATTGAGTTTGCTCTGATGCACTGTAATTATAGCACATTGGAGCAGGTGTCCCACATGTCTACAGGCACCCTAAAGCTCTCCTGAAGCTGTTATATTTTGTATAGAATAAAGATACACCTTTTTCAAGGAACTGTATTTTGCTATAAAAGCCAACGCTGGCTTGCATTCATAGATGCTTCTCAAGCAAATCCCGGGACGTCATTCTCCCCTTGTACTCGGCCTTGGTGAGGCCGCAGCTGGAGTACTGTGTCCAGTTTTGGGCTCCACAATTCAAAAAGGATGTGAAGAAGCTTGAGAGAGTCCAGAGAAGAGCCACGCGCATGATCAGAGGTCAGGGAAGCAGACCTTACAATGACAGGCTGAGAGCCCTGGGGCTCTTTAGCCTGGAAAAGTGCAGGTTCAGGGGTGATCTGATGGCCACCTATAAGTTTATCAGGGGTGACCACCAGTATCTGGGGGAACGTTTGTTCACCAGACCGCCCCAAGGGATGACGACTAGGTTGAACGGTCATAAACTACTGCAAGACCGTTTCAGGCTGGACATAAGGAAGAATTTCTTTACTGTCCGAGCCCCCAAGGTCTGGAACAGCCTGCCACCGGAGGTGGTTCAAGCGCCTACATTGAACACCTTCAAGAGCAAACTGGATGCTTATCTTGCTGGGATCCTATGACCCCAGCTGACTTCCTGCCCTTTGGGCAGGGGGCTGGACTCGATGATCTTCCGAGGTCCCTTCCAGCCCTAATGTCTATGAAATCTATGAAATTACATTGCCACTGCAGTGGTCAGGGCATCAGCAGTACCCTTGCCTCTCCTCCTCTTTACCCTTTGTATTGTCAGGTTTTTTTTGGAGGGTGCTTTGTATCTGTAGTGTACAAGAGGGACCAGAGTGAATATTCTCTTTGGCCCTTTTGGATAAAAAACGGTCCAAACAGAGGGGTTGGACTCAATGGCCCAGTGGTCCCCTTCCTGTTCAAAGTTCGTCTGTTCCAGTGGATTTACCCATTAGTAGCAATTCTAAGACTTAAGACTCAAGGTATTTCCAACTCTGGGGTCTGTTTGCTGCCTCATAGAAATATGTAGTTCAAATTTCCTGATCTCTTTACTCAAAGGCTGTTTTCTCTGTTTGTGCAAAACAAACTCCCAAGCTGCTAACTCCTGACTTTACATGTATCATTAAATACTTCTCAGTTGCTGTGCAGAAAGCTCGCAGAAAACCTGTGGAACGTTGACTTTAAATAATTGATTAAATCAAATAGCAGCAGTGTTGTGCCAACAAATAGATCACTCTCTCAAATATTTTATTTATCGTGCCCCAAGAAACCCCAAACCATGTTTAAAAAAAGATGAGAGAGAATGCAAAAAGTTGGCTTCATATTTGTCTAAAACATCTGCTTATTATAATTCATGATGGTGTTGCTCTGGTGCTATACAACACAAATCAGTGTTAATATGTACGTAAGATTTGGCAAAGAAATCAGGGAGGCAAAAATCCCAAACACAGTTTGCCAAGTATGCATTTTATTTGGAATTTCTTTATGGGGCTATAAAGATGCACTTAATAATTACTTTGTTTAAGAGAAATGACTCAGCCACCTAAGTACCACCTTCAGAATGAATACATTTTCAGCTTCAAAGAAGACCTTATTAGGTATACCAGGAACTTTATTTTCCAAGAAGAAACACTTGGAATTCTGATGCAGCTAGATTTATATAAACTACATTTAGAAGTGGAGCTTTTTTCTGTGGTGTTCATAAATCAAGGTCACTTATGTGAGAAGGCTATGTTTTGATAAAACTGTCTGACAATTAGATGTAGAGGGCAAATCAGTGTTAAGTGATATTCTTTGCAAATTCGGGGTCAGAAGGCAGTGTAAACAACACAATGGCATTATGAAACAGAAAATTACATTCCAAATAATAACACATCTTCATGGTGCATGGTTTTTTATTTTAATGTGCATTATTCTACTCAATCATATTAATATTTTAAAGTACATAACATTTATGCATAGTTTAATTTTTTTTAACAAAATGCAGCTTTATTTAACAGTGATGCCTGAAAAAGCCTAAAGCAAAACAGTTTGTGCAAGAGAATGGTAACAAGAAGTAGTTTCAAGATTTATAAACTGAGATTTTATGTTGCATATTTACAGATTCAATCTGCGTATCAGGCTTCGATCCAAGCCTTAGCATGATGACTGGAATAACTCCAATTAACCCAATGATACCAGGCATGGGGTTAGTACCTCCGCCACCACCAACCGATGTGCCTGTAGTCAAAGAAATAATTCACTGCAAAAGCTGTACACTGTTCCCTCCAAACCCAAGTAAGTGGCTCTGAGAAAAGTAGGCTTGGTAATCTTATTTTCTTAAATTTTTTTGCATGAAATGGGCCTAGGTGCTGAACCATATTTGAGTTCAGTCCTCTTATAAATGCAAAAAGAACCATAGTGGTATACACACAAGACAGAAAATTGATTGAATAAAGGTAATCATATTTAGATGTATGTTGGTAGCAAAAATGTTTCCAACCAAAACATATTTCAGCTTGAGTGTATAAAGTGCAGTAGCATATTAGAACACATTCATTCATCTTTATAAGTGCAAAGAAGAAGCAGGGACATATATTTTTAAATGAAAAAAAAAAGTAAGTTAATTTAAACAACAAAACTAAAGGAGGGCAGCCATCTCAGTTAATTGTAATAAGATGTTTGTATGCATATTTCCTTTTTATCTCTGCATCACAAAAATCTAGTTCAAGTCAGAAGTGGTTGAAAATTGTTAATATTTGATGGTCATTCACTGACCTTTATGAACTCAGTTTGGTGCTTGTAGTTTAACTCCCTGATCAGGCATCTTCATCATAAAAGCACCACCACAAATGGGCTTAGTTATTAAAAACTTCATTAGGAGAAGGCCTAAGTTAGGGAGAGCATGAAAAACTACCTGTATTCTGATTTCCTGCAGATGTTGGCTAAGTCATGGGCAAGGCATGTTGATGAGGCACTGGCAAGAAGCTTGCACAATATCTTCCTATTGTGTGCCTCTTTGGGGCTAGTTATTGTGCAAATAACTATAGAAGGGGACTGTGAAGAGCTGACTGCACATAGAAGAATTGCTCAGGAGCTTCCCATGTGCAGGAGGAATCTATATTCATGGGTAACTTCATGGAGGTCAGCATAGCCAATGCAAACTGGTGGCTAATTCTGATGTAGGACAAAGTAGGTGCCCGTAGCTCCTGCTCTCTACTCTCCTGGGAGCCCATAGGAAGAGTAGTTCTGTGGTTCCTTACGGACAGGGATTGAGTACTTCCTGACCTTTTTATGGCCCCAGACAAGTAGAAGTATTTCTCAGAGCCACCTGCAAGGCAGAATCTTATTCTCTATAAAGAAGCGAGAGGACTTTGATTGCTAGGATCATCAATAAAGTAACTTTCACCATCATGTCTTTTTTCACCAAGAGAAAAAGAAATATATTGCTTTGCATTTGCAATGTACTCAGACCATTATTTAATCATAGAGGTGAGATATAAAAAAAATATTTTAAAACTGTAACCTTACTCTCACTGTGTTTAAGTTACTAATGTCTAATTCATATTAATCAGTGCTAGTTTTTAACAGTGCTATTTTTAGAAGAATCCTCTATTAATCTACATATTAATGAGGTGAAATGTTATGACAATGTACTTTTCATATTTTATACAGCCTCCAAAAATGTAATACTTTGCTCATTTAAATGTAAATATAAAAAGTCTGTTCATCCAGTGGTGTTTCACAGCCAAATGAGTACTGTGCATGCTGTTAAGTTAGCCTTTCTCTGTTCTGGCCTCTGTTCTATTATCTGGCAACAAGACAAAGTAGATAACCAGCAGAGGATTTTCATTATATTGCCATTTCATCATGTTTCCCACTCTGTTTCTGGGCTTTTGTGTTATGAAAGAAAAATGAAATTATGCTAAGACTGGGCAAAATTTTCAAAATGGAGTGCCCAGGTTTAGGAATTTAGAACCATAGTTTAGGCACCTGATTTCCCAAGCTGCTGAAGGCACATAACTCCTTGTCTTTGGTGAGTGTTGTCCAAAAATTAAAGATGGGACAAAGTAGCTGAGTTCAGATCAGATTTACACTAGAGCCAGGGCTTACTGTCTAAGAACAAATTATAGAATCACAGAAAATTAGGGTTGGAAAGAACCTCAGAAGGTCATCTAGTCCAACCCCCTACTCAAAGCAGGACCACCCGTAACTAGATCATCCCTGCCAAGGCTTTGTCTAGTCAGGTCTTAAAACCCACCAAGGATGGAGACTCCACAACCCCTCTGGGTAACCTGTTCCTATGTTTCCCTATCCTTTGAATGAGAACATTTTTCCTAATATCTACCCTACACTTCCCTTGCTGAAATGTAAAACCATTGCTCCTTGTTCTGTCATCTGCCACTACTGAGGACAGTCTCACTTCATCCTCTTTGGAACTACCCTTCAGGTAGTTGAAGGCTGCTATTAAATCCTCCCTTTCCCCCACAACCCCCAGCCACTCCTCAAAAGTCATGTGCCCCAGCCCCCTAACCATTTTCATTTCCCTGTACTGGACACTCTCCAGTTTCTCCACATCCTTTCAATTTGTCCATTGTATTCCAGGTGGGGCCTCTCCAGTGCCAAATAGAGGGGAATAATCACTTCCTTCAATCTGCTAGCAATGCTTCTACTAATATAGCCCATTATGCTGTTAATCTTCTTGTCCACGAGGACACACCATTGGCTCATATTCAGCTTATTGTCCACTGTAACCCCCAGGTCCCTTTTTTTGCAGAGCCACTCCTCAGCCAGTCATCCCCCAGCCTGTACCGGTGCCATGTGATTTTTCTGTCCTAAGTGCAGGATTTTGCACTTGTCCTTATTGAACCGCATGAGATTTCTTTTGGTCCAATCCTCCAATTTGTTGAGGTCTCTCTCAATCATAGCCCTACTCTCCAATGTGTCTATTACTTCCCCTAGATTGGTGTCATCCACAGACTTCCTGAGGATGCACTCCACCTCATCTTCCAGGTTGTTAATGAAGATATTGAACAAAACCGGGCCCAGGACCAACCCTTAGGGCACTCCACATGGTACCAGCTGCCAGCTAGACATCAAGCCATTGATTACTACCCTCCAATCCTAGTGATCCAGCCAGTTTTCTATTCACCTTACAGTCCATTCATCCAACCTGTACTTCCTTACCTTGCTTGAAAGAATGGTGTGGGAGACTATATCAAAAGCATTGCTGAAGTCCAGGTATATCCTGTCCACTGCTTTTCCTGCATCCAGAGGATCAGTCATCTCATCATAGAAGGCAATCAGGTTGGTCAGGCATGACTTGCCCTTGGTGAATTCATGCTGACTGTTTTTAATCACTTTGTCTCCTCCAAGTGCTTAGTTCTTGAGGATCTGCTCCATGATTTTTCCAGGGACTGAGGTAAAGCAGACCAGTCTGCAGTCCCTGGATCTTCCTTCTTCCCTTTTTAAAGATGGACACTGTATTAGCCTTTTTCCAATCATCTGGGGATTCTCTTAATCAGCAAAAGATTTCAAAGATAATGGCCAGCAGTTATGCAATCACATCGGCCAACTCACTCTGTACCCTGAGGTGTTTCATACCCAACCACATGGAATTGTACAAGTCCATTTTTTCTAAGTAGTCACTAACCTGTCCTTTTTCCACTGTTGGCTGCTTACTTCCTCCCCAGAATATGCTCCCAGTAATCTGGGAGCTGACCTTGCCTGTGAAGGTGAAGTAATTTGGGATCTGACTAAGGTGAAAAAAACATTGATTACTTCAGCCTTTTCTTCATCATCTGTCACTTGGTTGCCTCCCCCATTCATTCAGGAACCCACACTTTCCCTGAACTTCCTCTTGTTGCTATAGTTGTAGAAATCCTTCTTGTTACCTTTCAGGTCCTTGCTAGCTGCAACTCCAGTTGCACTTTGGCCTTCCTGATTTCACCCCTATATGGCTGAGTATACAACTAGAGAGGAGTATACTCTTATACTCCTCCTTAGCTGTCTGTTCAGGTTTCCACTTCTTGTAAGCTTCCTTTTTGTGTTTTAGCTCACTGAAGAGTTCCCTGCTAAGCCAGCCTGGTCTTCTGCTATACTTACTAGTTTTGTTACACATTGGGATGGTTCCTTCCTATGCTAAAATAGAGCCAGTGCTCCTGGACTCCTTTCCCCCTCAGGTGGGCCTCCCAGGGGATCCTGCACATCAGTTCCCTGAGTAAGTCAGAGTTGGCTTTTCTGAAGTCCACCGTCCTTACTCTGCTGCTCTCCTTTCTTCCTTTCCTTGCAATCTGGAACTCAATCGTCTCATGGTCACTGCTGCCCAACTTGCCATTCACTTCTACATTCCCTGCCAATTCTTCCCTATCTGTGAGCAGCATATCAAGAAGAACATGGCCCTTAGTTGGCTTCTCCAGCACTTGTACCACAAAGTTGTCTCCAACACTCTCCAAAAACTTCCTGGATTGCTTGTGCACTGTTGTATTGCCATCCCAGAAGATGCCAGAGTGACTGAAGTCCCCCATGAGAAGCACTAAGGATTCTCAGACCACTACTAAGGATTTTGTGCTCCAAAAAATTATAGTATTTTCTTGTGAGTTTTTAGCAGAATCCATGCAGAAAAGTAACCTCTTCTACACTCTGGATCTAGCCTGACAGCAAGCCACAACAGCAGGAGTCTGGACTTATACCCAAAATGCAGGAACGGTTTAGATTTGGGGTTCCAGCTTTGGTCTGTGTCTAAAATATGTAATTATTTCCCTCCCCTCCCCCTAAAAATGTTTTTTAAAATGACTTCTGTTGCTTAAATTGATTGTAGAAATACCTGACTACAAGTATAATAAGACAAAACATTGTGTTCCAACGTGATTTTTGTTTTTACTTAGATCTTCCACCACCTTCAACAAGAGAGAGACCTCCTGGGTGTAAGACTGTATTTGTTGGAGGATTACCAGAAAATGCTACAGAGGAAATTATTCAGGAGGTCTTTGAGCAGTGTGGAGATATTACAGCAATTCGAAAAAGCAAGAAGAATTTTTGTCACATTCGTTTTGCAGAGGAGTTCATGGTTGATAAAGCCATTTACCTTTCTGGTATTTTACATTCTTTAATGGATTTCCTGGGCTCCTCATTTGTATTTTGTGGTGCTAATAGATGTTTATTTTCTTAGCTTTTACCTCAGCAAGTATTTCTCTAGCTCGGCACCTTTGGGTAGGAGCAATAAGGGTTCATTTCCACATTTTTCTGTGCCTGCCAAGATTCATGTGATTCTGAGTTTTGCTTACCCAAGAGAAATTTCTCACCATCCCATAACAATTCAGCAGATTCAGAATTCACTACTGCACAGTCTTTTTTTCTTTTTAAGTTGTATATAGTTTTAAATGGTTTTGCTCATGGAGTTGAGAGAGTAAAGGGCACTGGGCCAGCATTGCTGCAGTAAGTGCCAGTTTCTGTGACAGAGTTTCCAGTTTCATTGGCATATTTTTGTAGGTTCTGTAGTTTTCCCTTAAAGAATTCTACTTCCATGCACACAAGTATTTACTTACCTCATTATGGGTCAGACTGTGATACTCTTATTCATATAAAGTAACAACCAGCCTCTCCCTCCTCCCCTTGAAAGTTCCATTGATTTCCATGAAGTTTCCCACAGAGTAAAATTGTCAGTAACTTGATTCAGTATAATACAGTATATGTTCCCAGGACCATCTCTAGCTACTGTTGTTAAAAATAAAAAATCATGTTTCACACCTTTAATCTTGGTAAGTTGCAGAACTGTTGTTTTGAAAGATCTCCTCCTTTATAAGACAGCTGTTTCTATATGTTTAGTTATTAAGCTGTCGAATATATTTGGATTTGCAAACTCATGATACAAATATTTTCGAAGTGACTGTCTCACCCCAGAGTGCATGAGCCTTGGGGACAAGTGAAATTCATTTTTAGTAGAATTAAATATATTTAAACAATATATGTATTGTTCTCCCTTTTATTCCTTCCTTTTCTTTTCTGTTCTGTTACCTTTACACCATACTTTCATTCACTCCTTCACAATCTGCTTGTCCCCCACTCCTTTCTATTTCCTGATTTATTACTTCCATATCTTGAGGGCTTAGTGTGGCCATTGACAGACAAATTAAAAAAGCACATCTCCCAGCCTGGAACAAATTACATTATAGGAATTTGATCCCATGTGGTGGTAAGCACTCAAGGCTCTCATTGATATCAATCAGAGGTGTATCACTCCACCTCCCATCTACAAAGCCTATCACCTTGTCATAGAAGAAAATCAGACTCATTAGAGCTGGTTCATCCCTGAGAAAGCCAGGTTAGCTGTTACTTATCACTTAGTTATCCTCTTGGAGTTTACAAATCAATTGTTTGTTGATATGCTTCAGTATCTGGGGAGAAGTTTCAGGGAGGAATTGGTTCAGAATGTGAAGGTGAAAGGTAACTTGAGTGACAGTGACCACAATATGATAGAGTTCAAGATCCTAAGCGGGGGAAGGAAAGAGAACAGCAGAATAAAGACAATGGACTTCAGTAAAAGAGATTTTATCAAGCTCAGTGAACAGATGGGCAGGATCCACTAGGGTTAGGGACAGAAATTACACATAAAACAGTATAAGTGGAACTGGTTTAAACATGTGACAGAACAGAAGTTTACTGCACATAGACCAGTTTCAAAATGGCCAAACCTGGTTTAACATAGACCTGGATGGACGTAGTATCAGACTTAACTGATTTAGGTTAAGCCAGTCTATCAAACTTCTGTCCCAGATCCCCTCCTGGCTAAGTTAGGTCACAGTCCTCCAACATCCCAGGAGGCCTTGCACCCTCCCCCCCAGCCCTCCTCTTGCAGGGTGGGTGGGCAAGCCTCAGTTGTGCCATCTGCTGTAGACCTGGGTTCTGCTGTTCTCTGCAGTTATGCTGTCTGCTTTAGACCAGCTCTAGACCTAGAGCTGTGCGTGCACCTGGCTCTGCACCTAGGCTGTCACACAGCTGAGGCAGCAAAGCCTCTGCTCCTTACTCTGTGTCCTAGCTGTGCCTGTCAGCCTGGCAGGGCAGGGTGTAGGCAACAGAGCCTCTCCCCTTCCCTGAGCCTTGATCTGCCCAGTTGCCCACCCTCTCCCCCATGCTCGGCCTGCCTGCACAGTTGGGAGATGGGAAGCAGTCCCCTGTCCTGGTCCCAGGGGGCTGCCCATGGAGGGGGACCCCCTGGCACTGGCACAGGGGACTGTTTCCCTCCTCCCACTTGTGGGGTTGAGGCTGGCTAAGCAGCGGCCAGACCATGTCAGGGGGTTTGGGGGAGAAATCCCCAAAGCTCCCAAAGCAGGGGAGGCTGGGGCTTGGAGAACCCTGGGCATGTTGGGGGAAAACCCCTGAGGCAGCTCTGCCTATGTGGGCAGCTCTCCAGTGCCAGGATGGGGGACTGCTTCCCACCTCCCACCTGCAGGGGGAGACAGCAGGGGGTTGGGGGCATGTGCTGGTCAGCCAATCAGGGATGGCCTGCCTCAGCAATTGCCTGTAGGCTGGGAGATGTGCTTTAGCTCCCCACCCCCCACCTTCTGGCTTGGGCCAATGCAGGCATCTGACTGCCTTTCCCAACTGAAAACTCAGCGTGAGTTCAGTTAATTATCAGTTAAATCTATGCAGCTTAGAGAAGCCTGAAAAGGTTGAATCAATTTCTCCTTGGGCTTTTGATTCTCTGTATTTAGCCTGGGAGGGAAGTCTAAGGGGAATAGGAGTCCAGGAGAGCTGCCTGTGCTTTTAAAGGTGCAGAAGCACACTATCCTCCTGCAACAGAAGAATGGGAAGTGCCATAGGAAACCAACCAGGCTAGATAGTGATCTCTTCAATGAGTTGAAATGCAAAAAAAGGAATCCTATAGGAAGTGAAAACTTGGTCATCAATAACTTCTACACTTGGAAGTTCATCAGTAAGGCTGATTTGGAGTTGACTCCAGCACCCACTCATGAGCTCTGGTGGATTTGAAAGAGACTGGAACAGCCTTACTCGTCAGATTCCTGATCTGGAGCACACCTGGGTAGATCATTTTTAGCCCTTTCCTTGTAGGACCCAGTACTGCAGCACTGTAAACAGTCATCAGTGTCTTCAGGCTTATGTCGTAATTTCCCTGCCTGTTTTCTTTCTGACATTCCCCTTCACTCTTCATCCTATCCTCCCCTCTCCCTTTTTCTTCATTCCTCTCCACTGTACTACTGTCCACAGCTCTCTCCTCTTTACTGTCTCATCTCTACTTCCTTTTATTTTGTATTCATCCTTCCTTCCATAGTTCTTTCCCTTCTCACATTTCCCCATTCCTGTTTTTCCAATGGAATAGAATTTTTGTTTATTGTTTCCAACCACATTAGAAAAGGGACAGAGGGCCTAGAGAGAAGAAAAAGAACAACAGGTGAATGTTGCTGCCAGGTGTATGTTGTATTGCCAGCTCTGATTTCTATGGGATTTTGCAGAATAAACTAGCACTAGTCTGTATTTCAGCACTGCAGACAAGGGAGGCCATGCACTGGATAGCTGCATGCTTTAATTTGTACTGAATTACTGTGTTTTTCTAACTGAACATTATAAATGTTTTGAAACATAATGCATTCTGAAATGGTGGTAGAAAATCATACTGTTAAAGCATTTCCCCCTGCCTATAAACACAAAAGAGACATAAAAATAGAATGTATAATTTATTATAACTACAGTATACTTGTTATATGAGGGGAAAACCATGCCTTTGACATCTGTGATATAATGATGTTTGTCTATCTAATCGGTTTTATCTGTCTGTCTAATCTAATTTCATCTATCTGGGTATTTATCCCATGCTTATCACCATAGTACTTTATGCAATTATAAAATCCATTAAGTGGTTTAATTACTAGTTCTTTCACTTCTGCCCCCCCATAGATATTTGAGAGAGGAAGAGGGGAGAAACTGTATTAGGTTTTGATTGCAGAAAAGGGAAATTGAACTGAGGTCTGTATTTTGCTCCGCGAGTCATGGTTGAACTCCCTTTCTTAAATTTTCATTGGGCACCTATGTCCCTGGATCCTCCTATCTGAGCATCCTTTTCTCTATGTCCCAAACTTGGGACATTCATTGAGCCAACCCCCTTTTTCGCAGCTCCCAGTCATAGAAGGTAAGTCAAGTTATAGTACATATACTGGATATGGAATGTGGAAATACCATCTTTTGTTTTTATGGCATGGCAGTTCACTTCCCTGATGCTGTTCATTTAAGGTTAGGTTTCTGGTAAGTGACCAGAATGCTTTCATTTGCTTTTTGCTGGATTCATTTAGTGAGGACTCTCAGTGGGGAGAGCGAATGCACTTCATAGGCCTTGCACAGAGGGAATGCACTTCATAGGCCTTGTGGTTCTGAAATGGTAGTTTGCGCTATTCACCATTTAAATACCATTGAACATCGGATCATAGGATACAGGAAAATAATAGCCGTTGAGACTTCTCTATGGTTCATAACTGCCATATTAGCTGATTTGCAGAAGGGCCCCATAGTTAAAGCAGAGTCTGAGAGACACACACAGCCCACAAATGTTCATACCACCCTCCTTCCTGCTTCATGAGACTTTGAATCTGGTTGCTGCTAAGGCCATTGTACCACCCTGTCCCAGTATCCCACATTAGAGGTGTTAGATTCACCATGCCCAAGGGGGATGTTTTGTGACATTTTAAAATCAAGAGGACTAGTTGTGACATTAAGATAAGATGTTTATGAAATTCCCTTGGCTGGTTACCCAGGTGCACTCTAAGAGGATAAACATTAAATATGATTTTTTTCAGTTATTCCTGGATGACCTAAAGCAGTGGTTCTCAACCTTTTTTGTACCAGGACCCATTTGTAAACATTGATGGCCCGTCCCGACCCCAAGCCCTTTGGTCCTGCCAGTGCTCCTTACTCCAGACCCCCAGCCCCCTGACCCTGCCAGTGCCCTCACTCCCAACCCACAGTGCCCTGCCCCCCACCCGCACCATGACGGTGCCCCTTACTCCCAACCTGCAGCCCCCAGCCCTGCCAGAGGGAGCCCCCGGCTGCCCCATCCTGCTCAGGCCTGAGTGTGTTGGCTGCAATGGCTTCAGCTGATGCGGGCAGCAGCAAAGTGAATCCAGCCCTGGCTCCAGCTGGAGGGATTAGGAGAGGAGGTCTGTGGCACCCCCTGCAGCCTGGTCACGGCCCCACATGCTCCCTAAGCAGCATCTCCCAGGCACCTTGCCCCATGAGTACAGGCACTGGCCCTGGTGCTGGCAGCCCAGCCATGCAGCTCCCCACTGCCCCCAAAGGACCCCTTCCATGCTCTTCCCCTGTTTTCCCCCCTGCCTGCCCGGATGCAGCCTCAGTGCCCAGCCACCTTCCCCGAATGCCGGATGCAGCCTCAGTGCCGAGCCCCCTTCCCCGAGTGCCAGCAGGGACCCACCCCCCCCCACCCACCCATCCCCTCCACACCCACAAACACCCCCCTGCCCCCCCCTCAGACAGTCCCCAAGCCCTGGCCCTCCAACCCCTACTCCCCATACACTTACCTGCATTCAGCTGCTGGGGCTGCTCCCACGACCTCCCTGGCTGCATGCTGGCGACATGCGTGTGCAGACACATGTGCACTCACTGCCTCTGCCTCCAGTCACCCCAAGCAGCATATTGTAGGCTGGAATGCTGCCAGCCTGCAAGGGGAAACCCACACTTTCCTACATTTTTCTGAGACTTGCTCATGACCTTTTCATATATTCTTGCAGCCCACTTTGGGTTGTGACCCACAAGGTGAGAAACACTGACCTAAAGCAATTTTGAAAATGTCTATATATATATTTTTGGAACACTCAAGACTGGCTTTCCAGAGGAAGTCCTGTGGAAAACCTCCTGCCCGGGGCTATAACGGGCACCAAACTGCAGAATGAAACTCAGGAATTTCCGCTCCCATATTCTATGATCAGATTACACTACTCTTTCTGTCTTCTCCCAAAACAAAGGCTGCTTTTAGCAGTGGGCCCAGGGTATGTGGTGGTTCAGTCATATCTGCCCTTGACTGTGCGGCACATGAACACTGAACTCTCTACTACTGCAGTGAGGTGAGCTCCACTACTGCAGTGAGCACTCCCATATGCTCTGCACCCCCATTTTCAAAATCCTAGGTCAGCTTCAGGTTGCTTTGATACAAAATCAGCTTCTCGTTGAAGCTGGATGGGTACACTTTTACCAGCTATCCTTTTTTTTCTCTTTTGTTCTTGAGACTGGGAAGATATTTTGAAATGATCAGGAGTCCTTTCTGAAGAGCAAGGTTTTTTGTATTTCTGCGCTGTTCTTATAATAGGCAGAGCAGAAGGAAAGCATGCCTGTACTCGTACCATATGTTTGTGTCCTACTGAAAAACACAGCGCAGCTGGGAAATCTAATTTTAGGCTCCTGAGACTTGGCACCTTGACAATGTCCCTTTGCACTACTGATAATATACTTTTGGTTTATAAAATTAGTCATTAGAGGAACATGTGCCAGGAATAAGCTCAGGGTGATATTTGTCACAGTTGTGAGGGACAACTGTATCTCTGCTCCTCTTTTTCAACTCTCCTTTCTTCCCAAACTCCCTCAGGCATGGGACCTCATATCTTTACCTTCCTGGGATGGACTGTCTCAGTCCCAGTCTTCAGCACCTTCTAGATCCTCTGTTCCCTGTTCCTAATATATCCCATTAAGTTTGGTTGGTCCTTTTAGATAACATCAGGGATGATCCTGCCTCAAGCTGAGGGCTGCACTAGATGACTTCACGGGGTCCTTTCTAACTCTATAATCCTATAAATTCATAACTATTACTGAATGTGGTGACTGCAAACAGCCTTCTTAGGAAAAGTGTTGTTTAATCATAACATTTGGAAGAAGGCAAAGCATAAAAGGAGAGCTTTTTAGAACAGTGGTGCTCATATTCTGTCTGACCACAGAACCATGTCATGCAGTCCACTGGGATCCCCATGGGTCCAAAAATTGGGCAGTCAGTGTGGTGGCAGTGTTAATTGCTGCTCGCCTCCTGCCAAATTTACAGACCAATGAGTAGCCCAGTGGGCTGGATAATGAGGCCCAGCATGCTAGATTGGGTGTACAGGGCTAGGGTGGCATGGGGCCAAGCCAAGACAGCATGAAGCCTAATCTAGAAGTGCAGGGCCCAGTCCAGGTACACAGGCCCAATCCAGGCTACACAGAGCCTAATCAGGGTAACATGGGCCCTACACTATCTCATGGGGTCCAAAGGTTGAGCATCACAGTTCTAGAACAATAAGTAGTTTATATCTTGTCTAAAACATTACTGTCTTCCCTCACCTAAGCCTCCCTTCCTCCCACCACCATCATGTCTAGGTGTATCTTTCTCTGCCCACTCTTTGAGGGACTTTCTTTTTTTATTTGGCCCAAGTTCTTTGTTTCAGGTTTTCTGCCTGGATTTGGGTTCCCCTGTGGAAGCTGAGCTACCTACCTCTCCCTCTCCCCCCACATTTGCTAAGCTAGACCACTGAACAGAGTGTTAAAAGTAAACCTTGAAAATAAGTAGCACCTTTCATTATTTTTAAGCATCAGTAAATGCATAACTATCTGAAGCTGCTGTGGCTTATTCTCTGTAAGTGCAGCTGACCCCTTGTACTCATACATTAACACTTCCCAATATACATTCTTACAGAGGCACTCCAAACCCAACACAACACTCATCCCTCCACATTCAAATCTGAGTTTTTCCCCTCTCCTTGTAAAGCCCAAATGTCAGCTCAGATCCCTGGAATAGCTGGGAGGGACAGGATCAAAGCTCCTCAAGGCATGAACAGACAATCAGCACAGTTAAATGGTAGTTCCCCTGTGGCTGCTGTTTAAATTAGCAGTTCTCTTTCCTCCTGCAGTCTTTTTCATGCCATCTACAACCAGCCACAGATGTTCATAGACGTATAGCTACAGTTGAACACGATGTCCCCTTACACTGGATCCACCCCGAAGGGCTAAGCTTGTCACATTTCAGCTTGCCCCAAGTCAGTGCAGACAAGGGTATCAGAGGGCTGTATGGGGCTGTTCATTTTCAGAGTTTCCGCAGTAGGCTGGTATAGAGAGATGTGTGTATGTCCCCTGAAAATTAGAGAATTCTCCAATTTTTAGTATCTCATGGGGTTTTATCCAATATATACAGCTTTCTGCACACCATTCACTCAAATTTTCCTTGAATCATTGGTTCAGAACCGTCCGGATTACATTAAGATTTTCTTTCAGCTATTAAAGTATACCTTGAGAAAATAATTCTGAACAAAAGATGATATACACTAGCAGCCAAGGTGATGCTGTTAAACTATACTGTCCCAGTAGATTACCTTTATTAGTTTATCATTATTTATTCATATTATAATAGCAGTTGGGAGTTTCAATCAAGATCAGATCCCTGTTGTGCTAGGCACTGGGCAGCCCTGACAAGAAAAAAAAAAAATAATTACAAACTCTTATGGTTTAGCATGTGCAGTGTTGACCCATTTATGACTACATAAGGTGTTTTCAAAAGTGGGACATAGCTGTTATACTCACTCATAAGAAAGTATTGCTTACTTCTAATAAACCACTGTATATCTTTACAACCATTTTACATAATTCAACTTATTTCCTTCATGGACCAAAATAAATCATATTTATATCTGCCACCATGGTGTTATCATATTATGTTTATAGCTATAAAAGGTTCAAACGTGAGGTTCAGTTTCAGTGCAGGGTGCGGTGCCATTTTGTCTATGGAAGAAGGCTTTTGACTTTTATACCACAGCTTGCTCATTTGTGTTGGAAGGGATTTCAGGGATTTCAACCTTTTGTCTAAATCATCCTACCAAAATGGAGATGTAAGCCTGATCCAAACATTCATAGGGTCAGGGGGCTTTCAAGCTCCAAATTTAATTTGGATCCAAATTTTTGCAAATGACCTCTGTGCTCGTACATTTTTGGACCCTTGGCTTAGAATACGGCCAAAACTTGTGTGTGTCTAGACCTAAACTTTGGGCCTAGCCCTTCAACTCAGCTATTGCAGTGATATGTGATTTACAAAGGATGAATGTACAGATGCATGTGGATCTTTGTACGCAGGCAAAAAGTCTGAGAGTTGCTACAACAATAGGTAGGAATAAGTGAATGTAGTTCAAGATCTTTTCCTAACTACATTAAAAACAGCAAAGAAAAATTGCAACGGTTCTGCTTGTTGGTTTCAGGTTACCGCATGAGATTAGGATCTAGCACGGACAAAAAAGATTCAGGTCGCCTTCATGTCGATTTTGCTCAGGCAAGAGATGACTTTTACGAATGGGAATGCAAACAAAGAATGCTGGCCAGAGAAGAACGTCATAGGCGCAAAATGGAAGAAGATAGGCTACGGCCTCCATCTCCTCCGGCAATAATGCATTATTCTGAACATGAAGCTGCTTTGCTGGCTGAAAAATTGAAAGGTAATGGACATTTGTTGGGGTGGGGGGATTGTTTTTTTAACTATATTATTTCATAAAAGTAGAAACCACCCAGTCATAAGAATACTGATAAAGACAACCTTATCATAAACAGACTACTAATTTCTCTTTAATATAGTTTATTATTCATCCTTTTCCCTTCCATCCCCTGGCTGCTGCTATGTATGATATTATGTAAGCATGTACCTTCCAGCTATATGTAATAGCTGTCCTTCTAGCAACACTTGCATTTTCATTTTAACAATGGGGTCTTAACTTTCAAAATTTTTTACACATCTTTCTATTCCTATGTATTGAAAATACATAGTAAATAACTACCCAACTTGAACATATAATCCACCTCAAATAAGAGAATCCTTTAAAATCTTAATTATCCCTTTTGGAATAATTAACGTGACAACTTGTTACAGGCCATCTTTTATACCTAAGATCCAATTCTACAACCACATTGAGTAGTGTTATACTTCCATTCAATTCAATAGGATTATTCAGTGTGAATATTCTGCTTTATGTAGGCCCTTATACCTCTTGCATCACTTGAACCTGAGCATCTTTCACTATTATATTTAGCGATGGGACTTGCATCTATTGCAGGCAGTTCATTCTTTCATCCTCTCCCAAGGGGAAGAATTGCATGTTCAAGGAAGTGTTTTGTTTTGGTAGGGTTTTGTCTTGTTTGCTTGCTTGCTTACTTGTTTGTTGTTGTTCTGTGTAACACATGTTGAGTAAGTACTACTCAAGGTAAGACTTGAAGATTTCAGCCCCTAATAGGTAACATATAAATTGGACTTGGAATCAGATGGGAAAATGTAAAGCAAATGGCTCCTCCTTTCCTCTTAACTTTGTTTCTGGTTTTGTTTTTCAATATTAAGCTTTTAGCAGCTGTGGTTGGCATCCTTTTCCCTGATCAGTAGCTGACCATCTTGCCTCTGCTGTGTGCCAGGTCATGTGAAAATATGGTTCTTGCTGCTGTTTCAGAATTGCAAATATCCAGATTAGATTTGGACTATCTTGCTGTCAACACACTGACACTTTGTGCTAACTATGAAACACATATTTAGAAGTAGGATAAGGACAGTGCACTCTATTGTCTCTGCAGATATGGTGCCTTCCATGTATATTTGTACTTTATGCAGATACAATTCTAATATATATGTGGAATTAAATGCAGGGCACTATGAAATCACAATGATTGGTTGCAGAATTCAAATCACAACTGAGTAACTACAAACTAATTTTACTGGCTTGTCCACAGCCCAGGACAGTTCTGCTGTTTAAGTACTTATAGATTCTGTGGTGGGTCTGACAAAAACTTTCTTCGCCTATTGCATAACTGCAACATAAGACTTCAAAGAAAAATCACTGCTGCAGTCTCTTGGACCTGGCAGAAAAACTTTGCCTCCAGCATCTTAAACTTCTTCCCACTCATTTCCTGCACTGCAAAACAATATGGGGAAGAGGGTATAAAGAGCTACTTCATACTGGCTGAAAACAAAATACGTTGCATAATTGTAGGTAGCTGATAGAGTGAAATGTCAGCTAACTCTTACTCTGCCTCTGAGTCATCCTGAAATGTATTAATATGATCAGCGCTTGAAGTGCATTTTGGGAAGGAAAAGGCTGAGCAGAGGTTATACTAAAGGTCTGAAAAATCATGAAGGGTGCAGACAAAGTGAACAGGGAGCTGTTACTCACCGAGCCCCAGAATACTAGAATTTGGGGTGGGGGACCACTGAAATTAGCAGGAGCCAGGTTTAAAACTAACAAGAGGAAGTACTTTTTTATGCAGCGTGTAGTTAACTTGTGGGATTCATTGCCACACTAGGTTGTAGAGGCAGATAGCAGCCAAGTTCAAAAAGGGACTAGACAAATTCATGGGTGATAAATCCATGACTATCTGTTAAATAGAAGAGTCAGAGATGTTCCCTCTGGCATCTCTAATCCAATGATGGTGGCTGCCAGAAAGAGAGATTACTGTAGAGATACCTGGTTCAACGCTCTCCAACTAAAGCAGGGATGTCCAACTTCCTGGCAGCTGGGCCTGCATGCCACGCAGGCCAGAGACCTGCTCTTCCCCCTCCCCCTGCACTCTTTC